GGGGAGGGGCATGGGGGAGGTAATTATCATTTTTGGAGCTAAGTAGTGAAACTTATTTCTCTCTGAAAGGGAAAGAACAGATTCACTTTAAGGGCTCATTCACACAGGCTCAGAGGTCCATTTACCGTAAATAACAAATGCCAGATCCCGCCACCTGGGAGCCACAGGTGTTGCATACAGCCTATTAACATACATGTCCTAATGCACTGTACATGTCTGAGGCGCCCCTTAGGGCTCATTCACATGGGTGCAGAGGTCCATACACTGTCCAGATCTCTGCGCCTGGGAGCCACAGGTGTTGCGTACAGCCCTAAAACATACATGTACCAATACACCATACATGCCTGAAGTACACCTTTAGGGCTTATTCACATGAGTGGAGAGGTCCATACACTGTCTAGATCTCTGCGCTCAGGAGCCACCAGTGTTGCAACACCCGTGGCTCCCGGGCACAAAGATCCAGACGATGTATGGACCACTGCACAAAGATCCAGACGATGTATGGACCACTATGTCAATGAGCCCCAAAGGGGCTGGTAAATGCTGCTCTGGGCATATACTTGTATGGCAACATCCGTGGCTCCCGGGCGCAGAGATCCAGATGGTGTATTGATCACTGCACCCATGTCAATGAGCCCTAAACGGAATGGTAAATGCTGCTCTAGGCATATACATATGTACCTTAAGTCTGCATCCGGGGAAGTACAACTCAGTATGCTCAGAACAACATGTACCTGTGTTAAGCTGGTGCCTGTCAATAATTTGCACAGGCAAGACTGCACGCAAAACCTGTGGCTTCCGGACGCAGAGATCCACCCATTTTTGTATGGTGTACGGACCTCTGCACTTCGTGAATAAGCCCCGAGTAATGCATCAGACATGTGCAGAGCATTACTACACGCACGTCAACATGAGTTATAACATGCGCTGATGCGTGTTGTACTTTGAATGGGCTGCTCATGAACCACAGCACAGCACATTCACAGACAAAGGTCCTTTAAGTGCCATTCAAAATGAAGAGCAGTACTCCCTGTATCATGAGTTACCATGCATTGCACCACGGGCTAGCATCTAAATGAAGAAATTCCTGCTGCCCATGTCAACCAATTAGAAATCAGCTTTACTGCATGTGACAGATTTAAATCCGGCATATGGAGAGAGTGGTCCCACTCCAATCCTGCAATGCTGGAGCCTGTAGAGCTATAGTGCTCTCTCTCTCTCTGTCTTTCTGAAGGTGAGTTTCAATTAGTTGCCATGGGCAACAGGCATTTTTTATTTTAGAATCTAGACCAAGGGTAGGCAACCTTGAAACTCTGGTAAAGCTACAAATCCCATTATGCCTCTGGAATTCATGCACATGGCTTTCAGAGTCTTGCAACGTCTCATGGGACTTGTAGTTCCAAAACAGCTGAAGGGCCAAGGTTGCCTACCCCTGATCTAGGCCCTGGGACAGTAATCAGCGGTGTGCAGCCATGGCAACCACTAACAAGCCATTCAGAAGCTTAGCCTGGGTAGATCAATAAAAGCTGATTTCTAATTGGTGGCTGTCAGTAACTTTACGCCATTTTTATTTGCACTTAGTTATTTGTTAACCTAGGGTTGTTACAGTTAAAAAGTCTCCCCTGATAGAAACAAAGCATATTCCAGTTTTGGTAACTACTGGGGAGTTTAACCCTCTAATGTTGGGGGGGGGGGGGCAACTCCAGGCCTCCAGCTGTTGTGGAACTAGAAGTGCCTTGAGGCATTGCAAGACTGCCAGTTACCAGCATGAGTCCCAGGGGCATGTTGGGATTTGTAGTTAAAGCACATCTGGAGTGCTGGAGTTACCCACTACTGCTTTAATGTGTTCTCACATCTCTCAGGGACTGCTCTTGGGTTCTTGGGTCTGCTCATCTGATATGAGGTGGTCCCATGTTACCTGTTTGGAATTATATATATTTGTCCCTATGGAGAATGTAATGGGAGGTGTGGCAACACGGAAAGGTGGGAGGGAACAGCCCAAGTGTGCAAAAATGGTGCCAGAGAGAGAGATCTCATGGCGGGAGTCCTCAAGAGATATAAGAAGCCAGCGGGTGACTGAGCCCAGCAGGTTCCACCGAGAAATGAAATCGATGTTTGACTACGATTATGCTTTGATGTCAATAGATAAATATGGTAACAAATAGGGACCTATGAGAAATCAGCATTTAGCAGCTGGTGTAGATCATGGGTAGGTAACCTTGGCGCTCCAACTGTTGTGGAACTACAAGTCCCACGAGGCATCGACTTGTATAAATGCTGAACTGCTGGTAAACATCTTTTAACATGCCTGAGAAATAGGATTGCCTGCAGGGGCTGCATGTTTGGAGTCCATCAGTGTCCTGTTGTCTGTTGTTTAAGCGCTGATGAAGGGGGATTCCTGATCCCCGAAACGCATTGCGTGTGTATATCTTCTTTTTGCCATCAGTGAAGCCAATAAAGTTTTTTTGGATGATTACCTGGTACCTTCACTTCAGAATCCCCCTTTCACCTCAGAGCCCCCCCTTCACATCAGAAGCCCCACCTTCACTTCAGAGTCCCCTCCTTTTACATCAGAAGCCCCACCTTCACCTCAGAGTCCCCCCCCTTTCACATCAGAAGC